ATCAGAAGACGTTGCTCCTCTGATAACAATAACGAATAATAATGTGGATAAAAACCTATAAATATCTCTAGATTTTCACAATAAACAATCTGTTGCCTGGCCCTTGTCTTCTGTCGTTGCATTATGAGTATGTGAAATAAAATAAGGTATAAATCCACAGTGTTTGACGTTTAGTTTGCTCCACATAGAGAAGTGTAAACTTTCTTGGTGGGGTGGTCGAGAGGCTAAGGACTAATGGCTTAAGAGTGTTGGTGATATCACTCATAATTGTTCTCAGTGGCACAGGTACATATCAGTGTATGATTTTTTATTCAATAAATCTGCTCGACGATGAATGAAACTCAGTCAGTGAGTCATTCAGCAGTGAGTGATGCGTGACATTTCAACTAGTTATCAATGAGATGCTCAATAGCGACTTGCCCTATTCAGGTAGGTAGTTACCTGGGGTTCTAGTGAGAAGTCGTGACCAGTAGGGTGCAGCAGGTCGGGCGTGAGGACAAATACTCGCCGAAGACATTGGCTAGGGGTCGCGCTATGTCTTGAATTGGCAGAAGTTAGAATTCATGGACTGGCCATTGGATCGGGTCCCAGTGGCCCAATGGTCTACGAACTAGCTCACCTTGTAACCAGAAGATCCTGGGTTCGAATTCCGATGTGTGCGTACTGATGAAGAGTTCCAACCTAGGACGAAACAGCTGTCCAGTACTCCCAGGTTTTCCAATGGTTCTCTAACTAATGTCAGCTCATGATAAAAATCCTGTAACCAATCAAATCCCTACAAACCAACACTTGAAGATTTTAATGAGTTGGTAAAATTGATTTTGTCTATGGATTTCAGGGAATATATGAAAGCCAGAAAAGGACGTTTTGAGTGTTTCCTTGCTCATTTTGATCTGAATTTTATCAGCAAAGATTTAGATGTGATTTTAAGTCATTTTTTCTGTGCAAGGTAGTGTGGAAATAGTCATGATGTGTAACTGATGAAAACAACAGAGACATATAGTGAAGTCCTGATAATGAGATATCAAGATGTGATTCAATTACTTGAATTACTTTGATTTGAAACCATTAGGTTCAATTTGAGTTCAGATTCTCATTAAGCTATTTTAGCCTGGATAAATCAGTGTTGCCATTTGAATTAGTTTCATTGTGAATTTTTTGTAAAAACCAATATCAGTTAGAGTGTGTCGGTGGCACAGCGGTCAGGACTCTCGTCGACCATGCACATGGTCTAAGGTTCGATACCCCTACCAACGCACACTCGATATCAATGGTTGGCCTGCAAAATTTGGGCTACCGATATCATATACTGAAAATTCCATACTTGTACCAAATATACGGTGTGGAATCAAGCAATAATTAAAATAAACAGCTGAAAATTAAGAAACCCCGAACAGTTGTCCAGGGTTTCTTAATTTCAATAGCCTGGGAATCTTTAGCATTCCATTCCAGTGACCAGATGAGGTATTGTACTTAGTATCTTCAAGTTACGGGATCAGCCCGTTAACCATTCAGTCATTTTATTTCGAATTCGGTGAACTGTGAATATCAATTTTTGTTCATGATGATTTGAAGAAGTTTGGTAAAATTGTGTATAATATGCATTTATTGTCATTTATATTCACAAGATAATATAGAATTAAGTTATAAGTTCATATTTTTTCTTTCTCAAAACAACAAAAAATGTGTGAACAGCTGAGCACAGTCAAAAGTGCTAAGGCTTCTCATCCATCAGAAACATTAACATGAGCAGTTCTATTTGCCACCGGCGTAGTGAGCAATTGTCGACAAAATGACACTATTATTATGTTTGTTTGTCGTTCACAGACGAAACAAACTGAACATAAAATATGCTGGATTAAACTTGAAATTTTTAGAAATGCATGTCTGAATTCTTTTCTTCGTCTTATTGGAATCTGAGATCAATAATGTCAATTAAATTTGTTGCTTCCCAATAATTCACTACGGTATCTTTAACCTGTAGAGTAGAGACGAGTTATATGATGTAATCAGTTATCCCAGAAATTTCATGCAATCAAATCCACCCAACAATAGCAAACACCAATCATCATTGGGAAAGATCCAGATTATCTTCACTTGTCTGACAACATCGTTTCAACGTCAGGCAACAAAGATAAGGATGTCAAAGCCATACCAAGTCTGGAAAAGCAAGACAGGCAATAATTACTCAGAAATCATTGTGAAAATCTTCCAAAATCCGTATGCATAACCGAAAGCATTTCAAACAGTCCGGTTCCTCAGACTTTCATTGATATCTGCCCCCACTCAGTTATGAAAGTCAAACGGTCCTGTCGTAATGAAGAATTAACAAGAAGCTCTGACAGTGAACCAGGCACCGGTCATGCCACATCACAGTCTATGTCACTGAGTAGGAGACGAGTGAAGAGCAACAACTCAGGCGTCTGAGGGTGACATGGAGAAGATGGTCTGAACAGGAAATGAAGGCTAAGGCACAGCCGTGTGTCTGCTCTACAGGGATGAAAGAGAACTGAGTGGAATGGAAATGTTCCGCTGAAGCCATATTTTCCAGTTGGAACTTCAATAATAATAATAATAATAATAATAATAATAATAACGGCTCTATTCCAAATATCAAATTTGACAGGGCAATATTGCATACGATTGACAGGGCACCCACGTAGATAATAATATAAATGAATGTAAAATTAAAATTTGAAGTTAATAGGCATACTGACGACAATATATTAAGGTGTGAAAGAATATAAGGAGACGTTTACTTATCGTTTCTCAGTAAGTTCATAATTCTACACGCAGCACTTTTGTCATCACGCAAAATATGTGCAAATAAAGTATGCCTGAGGTTTTATACTTAGTCAACCGGCAATAACTTCTCTTATAACTGTTTCTAATACTGCCTGAAGGAACACAAGAGGAGAGTCGCATATAAAGAGGGCGCCCATAGTCCGACAAGATGATATTCTCCAACTCCTTGCATGAGTTTAACTGTCTACTCTCAAAACTACTAAAGAGTTTGTTCAGCGCTGCCGCACTTGCGATGCTGACAGATTTTAATACCCTTTGGAATGTAACAAAGTCTCAGGAAAGACTGAAGGGGATCAAAAAAGAAGAATACGCAGAATGCATGAGTTAAGGAAGTGCCAAATACAGACTGAGTGATAGCACATTGTCTTAACTTCCTTATATAGAACGTTAACCGAAATTACTTTCTAGAAATTACCATCATGTGGGAAGAAAAGGTAATATAACATTCGACTTTGTTTCAATTCCAGTGGTTTCTATGTTGCAAGAATCATGATATCAAACATGTTCATGAGGGTCGCGCCCGTGTCTAAAAGTGAAATTAACAGCCTGACATTTGGAAGGATATAGCCTAAGACCGTTCAGCAAGAAACACTGACTACTTTCTGATAAAAAACTATTCTTTTTGGGACAATCTGAATGAGAGGTAACGGATATTGAAACATTCAGATCACCAGCATACTTAACAAAATTGGCTTCATCAGAATGAGGCGAGTCAGGTAAGAGGAAAAAAAGAGAAGACGTTCAGCGAAGAGACTCTTTTTGGCGAATTCATTCACATTGCTGTACAATCGCATTTATATATAGTTATTTGTGTGTGTACATGAGGTTTGTCATGTCGAGATAATTGATCAGGTAATACAAGAATGATCTAATTTAGAAACAAAGTTAATCAGACAGCAACTAAAGTAATATTGAGTTAGTAAGTTAGACGACGTAATATAACTGACTGAAATGTTTCAACTTACGCGTCGGTGGCATAGCGGTTAGGACGCTCGCCAACCATTCACATGGTCCGGGGTTCGATTCCCAGCCGGAGCACTCCTTTACCTCGCTAAGCCGGAAATGAAAAAAAGCTGGTGAAGAGGAAAGGTTGGGCATGTGGCTAGCAACCCCATCCTGTAAAAATAAGCACTGCTACAGGAACTTCAAGCTTCTTGCTTGAAGCCCTATGTTCCACTGGGAACGTGTAGGAATAAAAAAGTTTCAACTTAGATCAGGGTAGTAACAGAGGTAATCACAGGTAGAGACTAAGTAGAAGTGAAATTGAGCAAATAAGTTGGATGACGTAACATAAATGACTAGAAATTGAGGGTTGTTCAAGTCAGTAACAGTGGTAGTGAGGTGTAAAAGTTAAATTGGGTGGGAGTAGAGAACAAGAAAGTTGAAAATGTAAAATGTTACAATTGAGAAGACAAAATAATACTAATAAAGAGACAGAAGAAAAGATTAGGTAGAATTTACATGTTGGCTAATAAGATAGATTACGTCCATTGCAAGTGTAGTGATTGAACGAACTTCTTCTGTATTCAGAGTTCAGGACTTAGCAAGTGAACCGCCATTGCTTCTGCAGTTTGAAGAAGTTTGATTCGAACACCTCTAGGAAGACTACTTCTTACTCTGTAGACGACTTTGAAGTTTGTTTGGGGGGTGTAGCTTGGTGTCCGGATTTTATCAGATGTTCTAAGATGGAACTGTGGGGGTAGCTATGTGAATGAATTCGCCGAAAAGAGTCTCTTCGCTGAACGTCTTCTCTTTTCCATATGACTCAATGAGGATTTTCAAGAGGAAAAAAGACAGAAAAGGAGAAGGAACACCACGGTAAGTGACCTCAGCTACAGTAAGTAAAGCAGTTGGAGACTGCTTCCCATCAGAAAAATAAAAATGCAACTGTTTAATAATCCAGTAAGATTGTTTAACAAAAGAGACTCATGTGAGGAGTCGAAGTTAGATGTGTAATCAAGGAACGCACACCAAACACATTCAGCACATTTGTCAAAATTGGAGACAGTATTGTGATGTAAAGCAACAATGACATTCGAAATACATCAACCATGTTTGGAAGCAAACTGTTTCGGTCGTTGAAAGCTTTCAATCAAGGATCAAGGTTAAAATAAAATCTCAAGATTTTAAACAGTGAAACTTTGATTTCCCTAAATGTCTCATTTTTCCTATTTTTTTTCAATTTTCAATCTTAGATTGTTATAAGAAAGCATGCAGCTCGACGGTTATGTGAATCACGTACTCGACGAGCAGGTAATGCTCAAGGTGGTAAATCTCCATCAGGCGGCTCTACAAACACATATTCACCTACACTATCTCCACTTTTATACAAACAGGGCAATTTATTTTCAACAGGCAATAGTACACGAAGTTCTACTAGTACACCATTTGACCAGAATACAAGTAAAGAGATATCGAGATTATCTATAAACCCAACGAATGGAGATAGTGTGAAACAAAATGATAAAAATTCATCTATCCGTAAAACTGCTACTAATAACAATTTAAATTTAGCAGAAAAATTACTAAATACCTCGTGCAGCCAGTAAGTGTTATGACTTTTGATTAATTTGAGTTAATATGCTCTTGTTTTTATGACAGACCATAAACCTTTTAAAATTGAGCGCTGACATATCGACTACGAGTTCTAAGTTCCATGAGTTGTTTACTATTGAAGGGTTTCTAGTTAAAACAAGAGACTTGAAGTCAGTTGGTTGATGGTGACCGACAGTGGAATCCACCAGGATGCACATTTCGTCCCATTATTTGGGACTCGTCAGATGGAAGTACCTGTATCCCTCAGTGAGTGATGGTGTTCTTACCGAGGCTCGAACCCAGTGCCCATAGTCTCAAACACCAATGCGTTATCCACTAGACCACCTGGGTCATGAGAGACACCCCTTCTGCTGACGAGTCCCAGAAAGGACGAAATGCGCTTTGTCATGGATTCCACTGGTAGTCATTATCAACCAACTGACTTCAAGGTACATGACCAGATATCGTCGAAGCATATGCACAAGGAGCCGACATGTCCAACCTGAGACCAGGCACTTCAGTATAATCAAACGACGAGGAAATCTAAACTGAATTAAAACTAGAGAGTGTTCAGAATTACTTGGTTTTATAACTAGCCAGTAACATAGAGAAGTTAGAGGTGATAAAGATAATTTAAAAGACAACAATAGCAAATTCCATATTAGTTTGTTTATTAGATGTACCCCACAGTGAAATAGTATTATTTACTGGATGAAATTTCGAACACAATTTATTGCGGTTCATAATCATATCAATTATAATCACACAACTTAGAAACTTGAGTTTTATGGTTTTCTTCGTTCTCTCCTATTTGTTGTCGTTCAGAGTAGTAGAATTTTCCAGATATCGTTTTCCATTCACTTTCCATTTGAGGGCCTCCTTGGCACATGATGCCATTCAGCGGTCCCCTTAGCTTCTGCCCAATCCATCTCCACTTACTTCGGCATCTTTGTTCAATGATCCGTTGTTGGATGGTTCATTGCACTGTCAGAGTTCGTTCCTGCTGATCTTTTACAACCGGCAATTTGACCTTTGGTATCGAGACAGAGAAGAAAGCGGCTGTTAATAAAAGTCTGCAACAAGCTGTTGGAAGTGCTTTCATTGACTTCATACATAACAAAAGATTTATGAGCTCAATTTCAAGATCAATTTCTTCATATTATGCCAGGACCTGTTAATCTCACTAAATACGCATCATTCGATCACAGAAAACAGTTTTTGATATTAGATGGTTGGAGGCGATGGGCAGAAAGCCAAAAATGACCAAGGATTCGTGCTATTTGGCACTCACAAGTCAGCGATGCGTACCTGCAGCCTTGAAGGAACTCATGTCCCTTCTGAGATTTTAACCCGCATTACTTAGTGTTGCAGTTAGAGACGTTAACACTGGACTATTCGGTCTCGCAGCTGACCGCCTGGAGGACTGTGATGGCGAGCTACCTAGAATGGTGGCCACATTGCAGATATGACGGATATAATTCAGTCTGCATCAAAGAAAGGACTACACACATCACACTAGTTACCAGTGTCCAATCAAAGAAAACATTTGTTTCAATGTAAACTGCTTCAAATACCCTGACAAATACATTTTTACTTAATGAGTGTGCATACCACTGAAGATAGACGAGGATATTCTATTTGATGCTCGAATCAACATTCACCTCCCCTAATTTTGTATTTTGTTGTGTTTCATGTGGAACACAGGGCTTTGAGCTTCGGCTCTGAAGTTTCAGGAGCAGCGTTGTTTTTTCACATCATAGGACTGCTAATTTCACGTCTTTATAAGGTTTCCTACTGGCTAAACAAGACTTAGGTATGCGTCAGTTAAAGGTGGAACTCAGAGCACATGGTTTATCTTAAATAAACTTATCTAATGCGGAAGTGTTCAGTTATCCGCTTTTAAATTTCGCTGTCTTTTATCATTTGTCTTTTGTGTATTTTTATGTATAATAACGAAGTTCTATTATTCCTTCTTTTCATGCTCGTCAAACCAACAGAAACCATCAGATGATATCAATGGCAGATGCCATAGACCAATTTACAGAAAGATGGGAGAATATATTGGTAAGTTATACATCAATTCGTAAATAGTGTTTTATCTTTTTGTAATGAGTGATGACTGAGGATGAAGTGAGAACCTAGTCGAGAACCAGGTTTGAACCACGAGTCTGCTGACTTTTGGACTATCAAGTCTCTGATCCGTACAGTAAGTAGCACTGAATTCACACTGGAGTTGAAAATCCGGATCTTATTTTCATTTTTATGCTGAGTGCTGTTCATCTCCATGCAGACTTGAAATTAATGAAAGCTTGCCTTGCTTTCCCGATCCTTGCTTTGATATCCTCATCAGCTTCGTTCACCTGTAGTTGAAACGATGCTTCCCGGTAGGCGGGTAGGTAAAGGAGGTTGCTTCTTTCAGATTAATCCCATTTATGCTGGCTGATTGTTGTATGCTTTTGTTGCTGTTTCTGTTGGCCAGGAATCTTCATCACCTCTGTTTTCTCTATGTTCACCTGAAGTCCTGTCTTTGATACTTCTTCTGCCAACTTGTTGCTTTTCCCTTGCATATCTTCCAGTTTGTGGGAAATCAGACTAGCTGACACTCTGTCACATAAGTTACAAGATGTGCTGCTGTTATCCAAGTCATTATTTCACTAAGAGATATACTCAGCTGCTTGGAATTGTACAGTGATGCGCCTTTTTGATTTCAACAGTCCAAATCTCTCTCAGATTGTCTTAAACTGTGAAAACAAGGAAATTTAGACTTGAATATTTACTAAAACGTTTTCTAGTAATACCAATAATTGAACATTGGCACGATAATTTATGCGCTTGAAACTTCTAATATACACAGTTCAAGGTAAAACGTCGACACAGTTTCCTTTAAAAATACCGAAAAATCATTCATATCAGCATGATTTCATTGATGGCAATCAGGGATGAAAGGGCTGCAGCCCTAGCATGAATGCACCATTGATGAGTCCGGCCTCAAACTCGCGAAATGGCTTTACAGTGTTTTGATTACTTAGATTTGGCTCGTGAGCAGTACTTGTTGGTGTGAGTTGCTTTCAACTACTCATATCAATCAACCAGTAGTATATAGCATTCGTGAAAATTTATAAGCTAAGAATTGTATTGAGAAATGTTAGTTTTGGGAAGGCTGTTTCGTCATATTCCTCGACTCCTCAGTAGATTTCAGCCTTTTTTATTTCAGACTGTTAGACTGTTTGTTTAATGATGACTGTCTTAAATAAAGCCACATAATTCTCCATAAACAATGAATAACCATCATGTTTAAGCTACTTTAATTAACTGACTGACTGGCTGACTGACTGAGTTCTAGCACAGAACCTTGCATAGAAGCACACCACTCAGAAGGACTTTTATGAGTAGAAATGCGGGTGGGAAATAACAGACACACAGAGAAATATGAAGACTGAAAGGATATGACATATGAAAAGGAGTGAATGCATCTGTACTATTTAGGACGATTTTGAGCCTCATCATCAAAAGTCCCAGGCAACTGATTCTTAGCTTTCCGAGGACACCAACCAAGCAATCTACACCTCCCTATGTGGCTTGATCAAACAAAGTGTCAGACTTTTTATGGATTGATACCACGGTTTGTTCGACTACTGTTAACTCATTCCCTACCCAATGCATAAGTCAGCTAACATTACTTGTCGAGGGAGGCATTTGCTGAGCATGTTCAACAGGTGTTCTGGCTGTCGCAAGTGATACAGCTTCATAACTTCATCCGTCGACTTACCGTCTTTATCTGAACTCAATATTGCTTACCATATCATACCACTTAGCACAAGAAGTAGAAGACAAACATCTATGGTCAAAGACAGCTAGACACTCTTGTTCTTTATCCCCTACAGTATACAATTACTGGCAATTTTATTCTGAATGGTGCTGTCGTTACAAAGTTGGTTTAATACATCTGAATTTGAGACGATGATCGGACACTAAAGGATTCTGTGGAGGTGTTCTTCAATACAAGTTCGCACTCTTCAACAACACAAACACACAGAGGTTTAACATAGGAGCGTTCGATTGGGCAAAGTTAAACTTTAAGCACCAGTAACTACCAATCAGCGGATGACCTTGAGCTGACCAATCACATGAAAGAGGCTATTTGCGAGTATGAAATACATATATTGATGGGAGAAAAATGCCCTAAAAGTGTTACAGAGGATACCTTTCTGTCATATATGACAAGAACATCTCCCAGTTTAGCAAAGGAGTATCAATAGAAAAGTTACACCACATCTTATACAAATATTCATCTATAAATAACATCACTTTGCGATCCATTAATGGCTCTAATCTTGTTTTTTAGCCTTTCTCAATATCCTCCGACAGAATTAGTGTGGTTCCCTGTATTGGTGTCGACAAGATCATTTGAATAGTTGATTCTACGGTGAATATATCTAAGGGATGACAACAGGTTTTAACCTTTCCACTCATCTAGGTTAAGAAAATATGGGACAATGGAGGATGTATTTGGCCATCGAAGCCTTGATGAAGCCTTTTATAATCACCACACCTCCACATGAACAAATTCTTTCTTTCATAATCAACCCCAAATCTAAGCAATGTTGGACAACTTGATCCTCACCATATTGCAAACGCAACTGTGTTAGAGCAGGCATTTGACTCGAAACAAGCGGAATAGACGCTTCAGATGACATGAATAAAACACATTGGACCATTTAAGGTCAGTGGGGCAGCCACACTCCATTGGTGGTTACTGGTGCTTAAAGTTTAACTTGTCCTTATCTTGTAAGTCAGATACACTTATCGATCAGATAAGCCAGAAATAATGCTGGTGAAGAGGAAAGGTTGGGCATGAGGCTAGCAACCCCATCCTGTAAAAAAAGCACTGCTACAGGAACTTCAAGCCACTAGCTTGAAGTCATATGTTCCACTGGGGAACGTGAAGGAAAAAAATGAGATGGAATTCAAAAGAGGATAAATTCTAACTTCTGTCACTTTCGTCTCAATATAGTATAGCAGCCATCAAATATACAGGCCTCTAATCTTCAATAGCACTCTAAGTGATGTTGATTTCTGACGATTTCTGACCTCGAAATCAATACAACATCCATCTTTATTTTATCGCTTTGTGTTCTAGTTGGAAAATAAGGCTTCAAGCTCGAGGTTTAAAGTTTCAGTTTTTACTGGATAGAGCTGCTAGTTTGACGGTAAAAGTTCCCTCTTTACTAATGACTTATCGAGGCTTAGGAGTGCGTCTGCCGGAAAGTGAACGCTGGACGACGTGCAATGGTGGATTTTCAAAAACATCCAGAATTCTTGTGTTTGTACAGCCTGATCACACTTCTCTACTTGTCATTTCAGTTTATTCAGAAAACGAAACGTCAAATAAACTGGACAAAATAATCAGGGATATAATGAATAACGCTTTAATGCCTATTACAGTCAAATAAGGAATACCAAAAGGGGTTAAATGTAACCACAAAATGAACTTCCACATGCACGCATAAAAAATAAGCGGAGGCTTAATTTTGCAGATGGCTATAGCGTCAGAGTACTTTAGTATGCACTCCTGACGTTTCGTTTTCATAAGCAATCTTAAAACTGATGGTATTCAGTTAATGGTGACTAATAGTAGAATCCAAGATGCAAATTTCATCCTCATAAGTTGAATGTACCTGTAATTCTCAGTGAGTGATGGTGTTCCCATTAGGCGCTGAAAGAAGCCGAACATTTCAGTTCGGTGCAAGACAGTCAACGGGGAAAGTAAGAACCAGATTTCAATAAACTAATCGTGAAAAATGTTTTGATAAACACAAGAAGGCAGACACTATCAGTCTTGTCGATAGGAAAACTGACACGTAATCGATTTAAATCTCAGGATTGATATTAAAACAGCTTTCCACACTATATGTTAAAATTGTTAGAGTCCTCTTGTGTGTCCAAAAACAATTTATTATTAGTTGGAGGATTTCATCATGAGCTGACATCAGTTAGAGAACCATCGGAAAACCAACTGACAGTACTGGACAGCCAGCTATTTCCTCCGTCCTAGTTTGGGACTCTTCACGCTACGCACCCGCCGGTTGAGGTTCAAACCCAGTTTCTTCTGATTACAAGGCCAGCGAGCTGGTAGACCATTAGGCCACTGGCACCTGACCCCATCCAGTAGCAAGTCCATGAATTCAAACTTCAGCCAATTCATGACATTGAGTCACCACTTCACGATGTCTTCTTCGATGCGTTACTGCTTCACCTTCAACCTACTGTACCCTACTGGTCACGGCTTTTCAGTAGAACCTCAGGTAATTACCTACCTGAATAGGGCCAGTCGCCAATAAGCATCGTATCAATTTTCAAGTATCGGTTTTGTAAGGATTTCTTATTTGATTGGTTGGAGGTTTTCATCATCATCGAAGTGGTCGTGCTATGTTGTGAAATGGCAGGAGTTGGAATTCATGGGCTGGCCATCGAATCGTGTCCTCGTGGCTGCTGTATGGTCTACGAGATCGCTAGCCTTGCGACCGGAAAGTCCTGGGTTTGGTTCCTGCGGTGTGGGTGCGTACTGCTGAAGAGTCACAAACTAGGACGGAGGAAATAGCTGGCTGTTCAGTACTGTCAATTTGTTCTCTAACTGACGTCAGTTCATGATGAAATCCTGTAACCAACCAATCAAATGTCAACAAACCAATACTTGAAATTTTATTATTACCCTAGACATATGTGGAAAGCATTTATTTGGTTATGTAAAGAAGAATAGTGTTCATTATTATCGTTCCTGTTCCTAAATCCCTTATCAAATTTTGTTTATTTTAATTGGCCTTTGACGTTGTTTTTTTGACTTTCTGTATAAACTGAATTGACAAGTAGACATCTGTGAGAATAACCAGATCATTTTTAAAGTGTTGCGTAAATACATCACATCACACCACACTCTTTTTCAGATAAACACTATCCAAATTTTATAAATGAGACTAATTGTTTTAAACTTTGCTAATTACTTATTAATTCATTAGGAAGTCCACTGGAATTTGTTTACATTACGAGAGGGTGGGAGTGAGAGA